AAATATCTATGACTTGTAAAACATTCTTTTCTGATGGAATTAAAAAGAAAAAAATCTTAATTACTGTCATTTTACAATTTATTCTGTTTGAAAATGCTCATTCAAAGAACCACTAAAAATAGTCTAGAGCAGTGTTTCTCAACCGGGGTTCTCCAGAACCCTAAGGTTCTGCGAGAACAGGTAAGACAAGCTAATTTTGTCTTTTTATTTAATTTCATATATGTAATATTACTAAACACACACAATATACTCTTGGTTATTATAATATTGTAATGTAGACATCAACCTATCTAACCTATTATGTTATTAAAAATTTCTTAGCCCATTTATTTGTTCACAGGACATTTTGCCTTGATTTAGCTTATGTCTTTTCAACATTGCCAGTAAAGGATAAAAAAATTAAAAAAAAAAAAACTGATGCAGCAATTATCTGTTTACATTCAGTTTAAACATTTATATTATAGGTATATGATATTGGTTACTTGTGTTTATTTTTTACATTTGAATTTAGAATTTTTCTGTATGAATGAAAAGTCCCTGATAAAGTACTATAAACAAACAGTATGTATTTGATTTAGCATTACCAAAAAATTTGACAAAGAAGTATTCATTTTTTCTTAAACCATTTATTCAAAAATATATACCATGATATTTACCATATGAACTACAATGAAAATTAAAAGAAAAAAATATGTAATTTTGTCTTTGTGCAGGTGGTTCCTTGAGACATGTAATTTATTTTAAGGGTTACACAAGGGTAAAAAAGGTTGAGAAACGCTGATCTAGAGTGTCACACCACACTAATTGCTCAGTTACCAGACAACATAATATCATTTTTAAGAGAAAGATTTCTCATGTTTAATTATAACAATTTGGCAAAGTAACTTATAAAAAAAAAAAAAGAAAAAAAAATTGTATTTGATTTTCAAGTATAAAAACAATTTCGACCAAATATATACCAGCAATCATTTTTGTACTCACAGGCAAACTCATTTCTTAAGGCTAATTTAATTTTAATTCCTGACCTGATCATGTTTTCTAGTAAAATTACTTGTAACACATTTCAAGAATAAACTCATTTACAATACATTGAAAAGCCATTTTCTGTCAATAGTGCTTGCATTATTTCCTGACCATTAACAAACCTCTTTTCAATCAACTAAATATCTTAAACAAATTTTATCTAAAATAAAATTCTAGTGACTAAGTTTTCCCCACTCTTGTTTATTAGTGTGTGTGTGTATATTCAGACTGTTTCACTGTATCACAGCTCCCAGTGTGCGAGACATCTGATTGTTTCAAGCTGGAATATATATATATATATATATATATATATATATATATATATATTATATTATTATTAGTGACGTCAGTGAACCACAATAAAATCTGAAACCTTACAAGTATGAAATTCAAATGCAGTTAGAATTAAATGATATCCATGATCATTCTTGATTTAAGCAAAATTTTGTTGTGTCATTTAATCATAAGAATGAAAGTTTTGGAACAAATTTCTTTAATAAATTCAATATTATAAATATTGTTTGCTTAATATATTTTGTTACATGAACCGACACCTTATTGAACCCCACTGCAAAAATTTTAAATTTTACATGGGGGTGCTACAAAGAATCTCCTTGGTCTGACATAGAAAACTTTACACCCAGATGTTGTTGACTGCCATTACATATACTTAGACTAACACCATAATACTATCATCTTAAATGTAAGAGGGGATGGATGTACTATATGCTGTCAGATATGATAGTTATATATAAATCTATTATTTCTACAGATGAACCCCTCACTTTTGTAGTAGTTCAGTATTCTCTCCTTCCTAACTTTCAGTCACTTTATTAGTAGAGAATTTATGTTAACAAATCTTTGCAAATGCCTCCAATAACAAAGATTTTTTTTTAACATTGGGATAATTACTATTAGAAAACTTATGAAAAAAAAGAGAAGCAGGAATTATTGGCTTGGGACGTTGATACTTATAGCATCAATACCAGTTGAGTCCAAGAAGTGGAAAATCAAGAGGACTTGATATTAATTAGACCCCAGTGTTACTCAACCTTTTTTTAAGCAACAGCACACCAAGAAGCAAATGAAAATATGACATTTAAATTTTGAATTAAACAAAAAAATGTTGAATATAATTATATGAAAAAAAAAGGTTAATATTCATTTATTCAAATAAAAGGATAAATTTTAAAAAGTTAAATTAAATACATTTTAAAAAATGAATATTAAAACAAAGTATTTAAAATAACCTAATCAAAGAATAGTGAATAGAATTATTTGAAAAAATGTTTAATACTTATTCATTTATTCAAATACTAATGCTGTACCATTACTACACCCACACGTGTGTGTGTGTGTGTGTGTGTTCCATGATATTTCCCAGCACACTAGTGTGCTGGGGCATGGTGGTTGGGAATCACTAAATTAGGCAGTACAAGTTAATAGCTTTGGAAAGAGACTGTAAATATTATAGAAATGGTTTTATCATCAAATACGAAATGAGAGAATAACACTCTGACAAACAACCATCATATGGACATTGATCGTTGTTTTAATGTTCTTCAATGAAATGGATTCATTCCCTGTAAAAATAATTTTTAGAGCTTGGAGAAGTTGCAGAGATCTTTCAAATCGACTGATGAAAGATATTTACAAAGTTGCTGAAGATTGGGGGGGGGGATACTGAATTATAGTGTGCCTTCAAACTGAAACAGTTCTCATGACGAACACTGACTTGCTCAGATTAATAAATCATACAGTTTAGATTATTTTTCTGTCTATATTTCTAAGACGAAGTATCATAACTATTTACATTGTTTGGACTGTTGGCCTCATATTTACTGTCACATTCACAACGTTTCGGCCATTGTACACTCTGGTGTTCTTCAGGCTCTGTCTATATTTCTAAGACGAAGTATCATAACTATTTACTCTTTACATTGTTTAGACTGTTGTCCTCATCTTTATTGGCATATTCACAACATTTTGGCCATTGTATGCTCCGGCCTGGAGTAGATTGTTCTCGTTCCACATGCCATGCCTTTTCTGCATCTCTCAGTTTCAGTTATTTCCCTTTAGTAACTCAACTCTCAACGTTTTTGTTCACCGAATTATATAGCCAGGTATTGAACTCACAACTCTTTGAGTCAAGTAACTGGATTACTTCAACCAACACTTATCCCCTGTGCTATGTGCCCTTAGGGACAAAGATTTTTTTTTTTTTTTTGACTAATCATTACTCCCACAGTGTTTTTAATTCTCAACTAAAAATATTTATCAGGGATTTGCAATGAATATAGGAAATAACTAGTGATCTTCCACCGTTGCCGACTGGACCAAGAACTTTCACCAATCGTGATGTTCCCTCAAGGAGGCTCTGTGCCTTCAGCGGCTATTGGGACTTAAACTCAGCCCATAGATACAAGCCATTGCTGAAGATGTTGGAAAAATGGTGAGTTCTCTGTGCCACTCCAGCAAGTATCTACTCTACCTTTACAAAGGACAGATCAGACAAAAAAAAAGAAAAGTACTGCTGCTATAGTCTTCACTTTCCACTCTCTATAAAGCACAAAAGTGTCTTTGTATCTTTGTAGGTGATAAATTATTTCCTAGCCTACAACTCCTTTCTCACAGACCAGATGTCACAAGCCTCCCACTGCTCTATTACTATTTCCATGAAGAGTGTTCAAATGAACTCAACTCCTTAGTTCCAACAGTCTTAACCTTCATGGTTTAGACCTAACATGTCACACATATTGTTGTGAACCACCCTCATTCCTATGGCAAGATGTAAATTCCACTCAAGAAGCAGAACTGCCAAAAATATTGCTGTAAATTCTTTCCCTTTTTTCTTTATTACAAAAATTGAAATAAAACTGATTGTTTTCTATGGCTTATCAACCCTTTGCAGGTTATTTAAATCCAGAAGATATTTTTAGATTGTAAGAATCTACTTTTTTGAGATAATGGTTTAGTGATCTTACTAATTAATTAACCCACAGCTGAGGAGAGAAGAGGTGAATTCATACCTAATCAGAATTTGATAAACAAAAAAGGTATTATAAAGAGATGTAAAGTGGGGGATCAATTCTACATTAAAATCTATATATAAACTGGTCCCTCACTTTTTGGCCACAGTTATTTCTACACATTTATATTCCAGAGAATGTAAATAAATCTAGAAGACATCCCTGTGTAGCTAATCAGTATTTGATTGATTCATTTTCTACAGTTTATCAAACCTTTGCAGATTTCTTTCTTTTCTTCGATAATAATGGTTTAGTGATACAAGTATTACTAATTAACCCATAGCTTAGGAGAGGTGGATTCATACCTTTCCCAAGGTTATTTACATGTAAGTAAATATAATGAACCTAACTGGAAGTGGAACTAGGCTCTCCGATTAACTATTCTGAGTCATTATCATTACAATATTCGCACATAAAAGTATACAGCACCTGATATTCCCAACAAGTCACCTATCTAGGTATGGATGTTGCTTAACTTCAGTAATCATACAGGAATTGGTGTTTCAACATTATATGGCTGGAAACCTTGGAATAACGTTCAATTGCACAATAATTTATAGACAAATTCATAAAAATCAATAAAACTAAAGTAGTTACTTTTGTACTTTTATATATATATATATATATATATATATATATATATATATATATATAACGTAAATGATAAAGAGAGAAAAGAAATTGAAAAAAAAGGTAAGTAAATGACTAAATAATGTAAGAGAAAAAAAAAAAGAAGGAAGATGGCAGGAGAAATAAGGCAACTGGTCATGGAGAAATTAGAATTTTCCCAATCGCCTCAAATCTTACAGTGTTTGATTTTAATCTTCCCAAAGTAAAAGGCCAAGTGTCACAAAAATAATTTGCTTGTCAGATGTGCAGCAATTTGCCAATAAGTCTTCACTGGGGCAGAGAGGACGTTTGCAAATAAAACACTCAATACTGATTGAC